GGGGAAAAATGAGAAGCTGATACCAAGGGCTCAAGTAGAAAGAAAATGTTTTGAGAATGATGATGGCAACAAATGTACAAATGTGCTTGACACAATGGATATATGTATGGATTGTGATAAGAGTTATCCAAGAGTCCCCAATAAAATGATTTTTTAGAAAAGAAATTTTAAAATCTGGAAAATTTATATATTTATATATAAATTTATATATGAGCAGCCTTGGTTGCATAGTGGTTACATGTTAGACTACTAACTGTAAGGTCAGCAGTTCAAAAGCATTAGTTGCTTCACAGGAGAAAAATGGGGCTTTCTACTCCCATAAAGAGTTAGTGTTGGAAACTCTAGGGGCAGTTTTCTACCCTGTCCTATAGGGTAGTCACTATGAGTCAGCATCGACTCAGGGACAGCGAGTAGCAGTAATTCTTGTAATTTGTGATCATACTTTTTCCTGCCAGTAGAATCACTTCGTCATAGTGTCCTAGGACAAGTTAGGACAAATGCTAACAGAAGCATGGTGATTTGGGACCAGAGTGACATAATCCTGAGCCCTGAGATTAAATTGAAAGTGGGCATAGCACAGGGGTTGTCGATCCTTGCTGCCCCTGGGAAGGCCTTTGTCCAGTTCTGCTAGTGACCACACAAGAGTAAACCAGAAAACAATCACGAAACTATTAAAACCACTCTCTAGCAAAAGTGAAAAACATACACATATCGATGCTGTCAAGTCAACCCCACCTCAGAGCGACTTTCTGTGTCACAAACAAAATGCTGCCTCATCCGATGCCATTTTCACACCCATGGAACATTTCAGCCCATCACTGCAGCTGCTTTCTATCCATTTCAAGGAGGGCCTCTGCTTTTCCACTGCCCCTGTAGTTTACCAAATAAGGTTTCTTTCCTGGTAATGTGTGCAAAGTAATCAATATGAAATCTCACCATACCTTTTTCCAGGGAGTATTTCTATTCTATTTCTCATATGACTGCTTTGTTCATTAAAAAACAAAACAAAGCTAAAAACACCTGGCCAATTTTATTAAAGAAATATATTGCAAGATTTACTTCTCACCAGTCTTGCTAGCGTGTTTCTACTCACATCAGAATCACCTGGAACAATGATGGCCATTGTGCACACCCTGTGGCATTTTCTGCACCAGGGCACCAGTTGGAGATTAGGAATACTGTCCTGGTGGACACTGGTTTGGGCCAGCATGACTTAGTACTTGGTTTGGATTTCCTCAAGGCCAGGCAGTTGTTGGTGAGGCTGATACTTTTGTTTTGCCTTGACTGGTCATCTTCAAAGTCTGCTTGTGGCCCAGCACATATCTTCTACCTTTCATAATGAGCGGGAGCCTAGAGTTGAGTGACTCAAGCCGCATTTTTGTCGTCTTTGAGGCCACCGTCTTCCTGCCTTAAGTGTGGGACCACCCAAGAGCTGCTGCCCAAATGACCAGGGGAGGAAGGCTATGTGTTCATTCTTGAAAAGGCCATGGTACATTACACTTTCTCCAACACCACACAGCAAATTCATCAATACTTGTGTCTTCCTTCTTTATTGTCCAATTTCCACATGCATAGGAGGCCATTTACAAGACCATGGCTTGGGTCAGATGCACCTTAGTCATCAGAGGGACTTCTGTAAGAAGTCATTACAGATCTCTGAAATGCAGTATGCTGTTGGATTGTTGCATTTCTTGACTGCTGGGTGTTGCATATTGATAGATCCAAATAGAATGAAATCCTTGAAGAGTTCCATTTCTTTTTTTATTTTAAATAAGAAGTTTATTTAAATAACAAGACGCTTAACTTGAAGGGAAAACTATCTAGGCTTCTTTTCTGTGAGAGTAGTTTACCCCTACTTAAAGACAGATTGCCCTACATGTAACAGCTATGTACAAAAAAGTTATAAAATTGCCCTTGGTTTTACAATGATAAATGGAAAACACTAAAATTCTCAACTGCGCAGTGTATGCAGGAATGTTTTGTCCTTTTGTCATTGCTGCTGAACAGTGAGCGCAAGATAACGTGCCAGAAGACGAGAGAAGAGCTGGATGAGCATGCCACTGATGGGGAGAGGGGTGTTTTCACAGACCAGTAGTCCCCG